TCGAGCCTTGGCATGGCGTTGTTTTCAGTGTGTTTCTTGTTGAATAGGTCATCTTTAACTATCATGGTTAGACAAATACATACGTTTACACTTTAATCAGTTTATTTGTTTAATTTTATTTACAGACAGTTGCAATTTTTCATTTTAAAAGCAAACAACAAACAAACCTGTAAAGCTTACATTATGAGTAAATCATCTATTTAGCCTACATAAAACTGAAAAATGTAATCAAGACAAAAAAAAAAATGCTGTACATCAGTGGTTCTCTACTGGTCTAGCCTCAGTACACACTATCAACTCCTTCATGAAAAATGTTCACCCAAATTTACAACATTTTTTTAACCACTGAGATTTACTTAATAGAAAATTATGCCGTTTGAGCCTCAGGTTGTAAAAACATGTGACAGAACGAAACAAACATGTTTAAAAAAGGGCTTGATGAACTTTTTGACACCACTTTTCTTCATTTTTTTTTTCCCAGGCGCATGTCCCACTGAAAACATCTCCATGACCCACTTTTGGGTCCAGACCCACCAGTTGAGAATCACTTGCTTTAGATGATGTAACCACCACCAAATTTTAACAAAAAAAAAAGTCAAATATTTTGTCATTGTGAGAAGCAAACAGTATAGGCATGCTGAAAGAGTCACACTTTCACACAAGAAACCTTAACTACTTTAACAAGAAGCTTTCTTGATTCTGAATGAGCGGATAGATTGAAAAGTTGTATAGCTGTAGTGTGGCTAATAATAAGTAATAAGCCATATTCATTTCATAAATCCTTGTTATTTGTTATATAACCACTCTTTTAACTGCAACAACAGAGAGCGTTATAGTTGCTTAAGGAAAATCCAGCAGAAATATAAAGGGATTAGGTTGGGTGTTTACTTTAAAGCACAGATAAAATTAAACTTCTCAGTATCAGCCTTTTTGACCCATTTTCCACTTTTGTTCATGGCTGCAGCATAGTAACATCTGTCACACTCTCCGTCTGAGTGAGCCCAATTCTCGTAGGTGACCAGATTGTCATTGAGCCAGAACCACAGATCCATAAGACAGGTGTAGCGCAATCCCAGCCAAACATGGTCGGTTGAGGCATTTTTGGCTCTGGCTTCAACCCATCTCTGCTGGTTAAGGTCGGTGATGGAGACCAAGTCACGATGGTTCTCTCTGCAGTAATTGACAGCTTCCTCCCACGTCATTACTTCGTTGATCAGGATCACTTTGTCTGTCGTGGAAAAAAAGAAATGACAGCACAAACGCAAATGTTGAAAACGCTGTTTGCCATTGTTGAAAACCAACAGATATCCTCAGAATCTATCGTTATATGTTCAAAAGTTAGTGAACGGGACAGGAAAAATGTCACTTTAGATCACGCCTCTTTGAGCAAACGTTACAGAGCAATTTCGATAGGTGAGTTTTGACTCCCACCGACGGTCTCTGAGTGCAACTACCCTGTCGTAAAACACTCATAGTGAAGTGACATAGCCAGCTTGGCACCGGACTTGCAGCTTACTGTATCCTGCAACGTGTAAAATCATGTCCAATATTTACTCTAGGCTAGCTTCTTGCTCAGAGGTACTCTATTTTTTTTCTCCTCTCAGCTTCATCCGCCGTCACCCTTTTCAATTTGTTAGCCTCGGCCATTGTTTCAAACAGAACAGAGACGGGCTAACTGGCAGTTTTTCTAAGTTAATGCTGGTGTGTGAACTAGTGTCGTAAAGCCCAATGCACACTTTTATGCCAAAGTGACACAGTGATGTAAACAGGAAATGGGGTCGCCCTGTGGACATGGGACTGACACCATTCTCCCTGTTGAAAGTTATTTTTCTATTAGACCGACTCTGAAACTTCTATTTCAAGTTGGAAAAATGACACATTGTTGCTTTAACGCAAAACAGTCGCTTAAAGCTCCCGTGAGGAATGTTTGGTTTACGTTAATTTTGGCGCCCCCTGTGGACAAACTCCTATTTGTTTGTTGAACTTGTGCTATTCATCTGTAAGCAGCATTCTCTGATTAAAACTCAGTCTTCCTTTTGATGTCTTTTAAAAGTCAAATGTATCTCTCAATGATGAATTTTTTGCCGTGTAAAAACTAAACATAGTCTGTTTTGGCACTTAACCCCACCGTGGCCACATGCATTGAAAATCACAATATGTAAATAACTAATCTTTTTTGCTTTCATGTGTACCATAGAGGCCTCAATATTCACTCCAGTTCATTTTAATAGCACTTTGTGATGTCTGCTCTTGAAAGGTGTTATAAATAAACTTCACTTAATTACTTACTTACTAAAAATCCTCACAGGAGCTCTGGGTTCATGTAGGTGTGACATGGAGTTTAAGGTATTCCATGTTTTATGTTTTGGTCTAACTGATATTCGATTAACTATACTCAATAAATTAACTTGTTAATCTGATGACATTTAAGTCTACTTGCCTGATAACACACTTTGTCTGTAAATTCGTCTGACTCTCCTTAAATATTCAAAGACTGGTGTTCTTTTTATTGTATGTGATAGAATTGCTTCCAAGGTTTCTAATGGTTTTTATTGACTTCCCTCAGCAATTAAGTCAAATTCTCGTATTATAATATCTACATTATATTTCTAAAACATTCTCTGTCAAAGGTGCTCTACCTAATAAACCTCACCAAAACATATATAAACTAGAAATATAAATACTGCAGATTCTGGTGGATCTTTTGACTGATTCACTGCTTGGAGAAAACAATCGAGGCAGACCTTTGCTAAACGTACCTTTATAGCAGACGAAGGGTTTTTTTTCATCACAGGCAGCAGAGTCCCATTTTCCTTCTCCCTTTAACACAGTTGCACATTCCTTGTTGACTCCATCCTTCAGCAAACCCAGATTCCAGTGTCGGAAAGATGAGTTGCTCCCATCCGACCAACTCCAGGTGTCTCTGAACAGGCCGATCCACCTATCAGTGTTGTCAGCTAAATGAGCTAGTTGATCTAGTCCACTGACCAGGTCTGTGTATTTGTCTCTGCAGTAATTCTGAGCCTGTGTCCAGTTCATCAACTCTTTGATGTAAATGAAGCTTTTTGGGGATTCCTCCGTTCCTGTAGATGTTCATAGGAAACATATATTTTACCACATTTCCTAACTTAACACACAAACCATAATTTCAGATACATGAGTATTACTTGACTCTGGGTTCAGATGTTGCCTTAATTAAAGTATAGTGTAAAATAATGTATGTATAACTTTCTTACCATTGAAGCATATAAATGTCTTGTTTATACCACAGAGGGTATCAAGTAATTTTCCACCAACATTCCGCGCACAGTTCTCATCAGAGTTTCCAGAATGTGGCTCATGACCAGGAAAGTAAGTCTTAAGTTCACTTAACGCCACCCCTTGCGTCCCTGGCAAAGACCAGTGCCACCTCCTGTTGGCTTGTCCTGGGTTGCTCTGAAGCCCGATCCACGCTTCCTGTGTATTCACAATCTCACGGAGTCTCTTCATGTCTGTCATGTCAGACACTGTAGCCAGGTCTGTGTATTTCTCTTTGCAATATCTCTGAGCTTCATCCCAGGTCTTTGCCTCTTCAATGAGGTGGTACTCAATGTGGTGACAAGTGAAGGAGACACACTGACCTGAAACAAGAAAAGTAACACTCAGCACGTCATATTGTGACAACTTGGGGCCACTTAGCAGAGTGTGAATGCCAGCTATGTTATGAGTCCAGATCAGAAATCAAGTATGTAAATGTATCTGTGAGTCTTGAGTGAGTATCGCCGGCTGCCGTGTTTATATCATGTTTACATGGAGCGGACGGTCAACTCCTCCCCTTGTGTATAAAAGCTGTTTAAGTCAAGGACTAGAGAGAAGAAGAACAAACTGATCATTTGGATGTCACGTAAGCGTTTTTAGATCACGCTCATTCTGTGTTCATTTGTATGCAATGTGAAGCTACGGGCTAACTAAAGTGTGCTAACATTAGCCTGCTAACACAACAATGCAGGACACAGGCGACTGCGGCTCGAACAGAGGATACGTTTGTCTGCCGGCTTCAGTGTAGCAGAGGTGTCTGTTTTTGGTTTCATGCTGGTGCTCGAGGGCGACATCTACTGGATCAAAAAGTAGTTTTTATTGACTTCCCTCAGCAATTAAGTCAAATTCTCGTATTATAATATCTACATTATATTTCTAAAACATTCTCTGTCAAAGGTGCTCTACCTAATAAACACCAAAACATATATAAACTAGAAATATAAATACTGCAGATTCTGGTGGATCTTTTGACTGATTCACTGCTTGGAGAAAACAATCGAGGCAGACCTTTGCTAAACGTACCATCATAGCAGACGAAGGGTTTTTTTTCATCACAGGCAGCAGAGTCCCATTTTTCTTCTCCCACAGTTGCACATTCCTTGTTGACTCCATCCTTCAGCAAACCCAGATTCCAGTGTCGGAAAGATGAGATGCTCCCATCCGACCAACTCCAGGTGTCTCTGAACAGGCCGATCCAACTTTCAGTGTTGTCAGCTAAATGAGCTAGTTGATCTAGTCCACTGACCAGGTCTGTGTATTTGTCTCTGCAGTAATTCTGAGCCTGTGTCCAGTTCATCAACTCTTTGATGTAAATGAAGCTTTTTGGGGGTTCCTCCGTTCCTGTTGATGTTCATAGGAAACATAATTTCAGATACATGAGTATTACTTGACTCTGGGTTCAGATGTTGCCTTAATTAAAGTATATTGTAAAAATAATGTATGTATAACTTTCTTACCATTGAAGCATATAAATTTATTGTTTTTATCACAGGTGGCATCGTTTAATCTTTTATTACGAATCTGCACACAGTTCTCAGGTTTATTATTGTGATCATTTGGCTCTTTATTATGAAAGTAAGTCTTAAGATCGCTTAACGCCACCCCTTGCGTCCCTGGCAAAGACCAGTGCCACCTCCTGTTGGCTTGTCCTGGGTTGTTCTGAAGCCCGATCCACGCTTCCTGTGTATTCACAATCTCAGGGATTCTCTTCATGTCTGTCATGTCAGACACTGTAGCCAGGTCTGTGTATTTCTCTTTGCAATATCTCTGAGCTTCATCCCAGGTCTTTGCCTCTTCAATGAGGTGGTACTCAATGTGGTGACAAGTGACGAGGAAACACTGACCTGAAACAAGAAAAGTAACACTCAGCACGTCATATTGTGACAACTTGGGGCCACTTAGCAGAGTGTGGATGCCAGCTGTGGTTTCTTTCTCTATGCCAGCTGTGTTATGAGTCCAGATCAAGAAAGAATGTTACTCATTAATACGGCAGAAATCAAGTATGTAAATGTATCTGTGAGTCTGGAGTGAGTATCGCCGGCTGCCGTGTTTATATCATGTTTACATGGAGCGGACGGTCAACTCCTCCCCTTGTGTATAAAAGCTGTTTAAGTCAAGGACTAGAGAGAAGAAGAACAAACTGATCATTTGGATGTCACGTCAGCGTTTTTAGATCACGCTCATTCTGTGTTCATTTGTATGCAATGTGAAGCTACGGGCTAACTAAAGTGTGCTAACATTAGCCTGCTAACACAACAATGCAGGACACAGGCGACTGCGGCTCGAACAGAGGATACGTTTGTCTGCTTCAGTGTAGCAGAGGTGTCTGTTTTTGGTTTCATGCTGGTGCTCGAGGGCGACATCTACTGGATCAAAAAGTTGCACAGTCTTCCTTTAAGTTTAAGTGACTTTTGAGAGAGTTTTTGAAACTTAACCTACATGCAGCAGTAAAAGTAGCAGAACTATAAAGCAGGTGAAATGATCACTTACCCATCACAGTGAGCAGAAATAAACTGCTCTGCATCTTCGGCCTGATTGTTGAAACTGATTATTAAGGCTGCTGTGAACACAAACACAGGTATAGAAAAAAAAAACTGCACCAGTCCCTCCTGAATGCAATGTTCACTGGAACTGCAGTTTTTTGGCACTTTATTTTTCAACATCGAAAAGGTTTTCACTTGAGTCAAAGTATAACTGGCTCATTCACAAAATCGTTAACCTACCAGATTAAAACAACAACAACACTGCTCTGGGGATTATAGGCTTGAAATGTTCTTCTTCTGCTACAATCAGAAATATGTTTTCTTTTAATAAAAGTCCTGGGGATATAGTGTACCTTAAAAAAGATGAAATCTGTCATAGCTCTGGCACAGTGTCATCACAAGCTGAACATCGTAAAGTCACCTTAGCAACGGTGGAATTTGTAGAAAGCAAACTCATTATAGTCATTTGTAAGGTAGAAATAGAATTGAACGTTTCATAAAGAGAAGTATTAATACATTATTTGAATTCTGGTGAATTCAAAAGTAATTCACAAAAATATCTTAAGGAGACTTTACACACTGTAAATAATGTAAATACTGTATACAAATAAAAATTTCAACATCAATCTAAACTTCACAAACTAAAAAGCAAACACAAAATGAACTTGCAGAAAACACAACAAAGTTCAAACTCACTTCGTCTGATGTTTCTCTCTGACGTCTCTCCTCGATGTGCTGATGTGGGCTGCTCTCAATGGAACTAAAACCTCAGTGTCAGGGTTCAAATATTTCACTGCAAAAGTTTCAGCCTTCGTCACTGTCAGAGGGATGCATGGACATATAAGGAGAAGGCTACATCACTTTTCTAAAGAGGTGATTTGAATAATTCCAGAGAAAACAAATAGATGGACGTCAGACTGCTGGCTGTCCAACAAGCGTCCTCCAGAAAGCCGCTGCTTATGTTGGGAAATGAATGCAAAACATATTTTCTCGTCCAAATTTTGAGCTATTTCTTGAAGATTTGGGGGTTCAGCTTGTGTCCACTAACAGCGTTGTATTGCTCATCCAAACATTTAGTGTTGCTACTAGGTTCTGAAAATGTTCAATTGGCAGCTCCGCTGTGTCGTTAAAGCGGGGTACACACTACGAGATAATCAGGACGATTTAGGGTCTGATTCCCGCCTTCGGACCAAAGTCAGCAAAAACCAGATTATCTGATATGTGTGTGTGTGTGTGTGTGTGTCTGTGTGTCTGTGTGTGTGTGTGTGTATGTGTGTTAGTGTATGTATGTGTGTGTATGTATGTGTGTGTGTATGTGTGTTAATGTATGTGTGCGTGTGTGTTTGTGTACGTGTTTGTGTGTGTGTTAGTGTGTATATGTGTGTTAGTGTATGTATGTGTGTCTGTGTATGTGTGTGTTTGTGTACGTGTTTGTGTGTGTGTATGTATGTGTGTGTGTTGTGCCACCATATGAATAAAATACAGCGAGACATTTCCCCCGTGTGAAATCTAAAAGGTTTGTTCTGAATCAAAATGAAATGTAATCACAATAACAGAAAGAGAACGTGCTACCTTTTCTGATCTGCCCTCTGAAGTGATGAATGAACCCTGCTGTCAATGTTTTTACAAACTGTTACTCCTAAACTGTTCATTCTTTGACGCGTCCTTTTTTTCCGTTTACGAGACACGTTTTGTAATCAGGTCATGCAATGCATCATGGTTGGTGTTTGGGTTCTGTTTGTGCTCCATATCATGTGATCATGGCCTGCAACATGTAAATCTAAAAAAAAAAAAAATGAAATGGAAATGTTGTTTAGAGACAGAAATGTAGATAAAAACAGAGATGTTCTACTTCAGTCTCCTTTCCTCTACATTATGCAAAATACTTCATCTTTTCATCAATAGAGCTTTTTGACAGCTATACAGGGATCTGAAACTTCCCTTTTTTCATATTTGAATGCTGACGCTGAGTTAGACAGAGAGGCTAGGTGAAGAAGACTAAAAGACTCCACGTCTGTGCTATTAATTTACAACAATTAGCCCTTTGGTTGCTCGTCTTCTTGCACTTGAGCTGCACATTTGCACACCTCCACTTTGCACTTTAATAACTTGGTAGGAACTCAACTCAGCTTTATTTATAAAGCACCTTTCATATATAGAAAAAACATGCAGCCCAAAGTTTTTCACAGAAGAACAGGCAGAAAAGAACAGAAATTAAATGAAAGAGATGAAAACAATAGGGGAAAGTAATGAAACAATAAAAAGGATAACATTGATTTAAAAAGATATAAATGAAAAAATAAAACAAAATCTATTTAACCAAATCAATAAAAGAGAGAAAACATGTCTTACAGTTTACGTTTAAAAACACCCAGAGAGCAACAAGGAAGTCAAAGATGTAGCACAGATACAGCGTTCAAGCACTTACCAAATTCTAAACTCAGTCAGAGATCCTCTTTCACATCGTGTCTTCACTGACACCTGCTCCACTAATGGACGACAAACCCTTCAGTAGGAAGAACTACACCCGCCATACATTTTTACCTTTAGCTACTTCCCAGCTCAAAGAACATATTTTGCAGACACTAACTAGCTGCTAATAAACTGCTTTAAGACATTTAAGACTTTCTTCTGTAATACCTTCCCTGCCAGGCTCAAAGACTTGAGGTAGCAGCTGCTAACAAACTCCTTTCAGGAGATTTCTTTCTAGAAGAACTAGCCTTGGAATAGCTTTTTTTTTTTTTTTTTTTTTACTTTCAAGGTTGCTCCTTTCAAGCTTAAAGGCTTTATATGCGATTTTTTGATCCAGTAGATGTCGCCCTTGAGCGCCAGCATGAAATCAAAACAAACGGCTGTTTGGCCACACCTCCTCCATGCTGTAGCCTCCCTCCCACCTCCAGCGGTGGATAACATTTCCCTTGTAAAAGCTTTCTTATGGACAAATGTCAAGTGACAAGGTAAATAAGACGTTTTTAGTAATGTCATTGTTAAAGCGTTTTTTTTATATCCCGAAGATATTCACCTGTGTTAGGAGCTATTTTTTTTTCTACTCCGGAGTAGGCGAAAGTCATTTTTAGCTTGCAGTTTGCACTGCCACTGCTAGTTAGCCATCTTTTACCATTAGAATAATTTCGGCGATTGTAAAATGCTAGAAACAGCAACGAGTAAGTGTTTTCACTTGAATCCCTCTGAATGTTTGCCACTTCTTTACAGTCGGATGTCGGTATGGCTGCTGAAGCAGGCTGCAGCAACTAGCTACCGTCGATGAGGGGCCGGTCGAGTGTCCGAGGCCATTGCTTCAGCCGTTTGGCATCATTCGCCCTTTACTGCCTTGATGCAGGTGTTTTGCGGGTCCACAGGAACTTCAGGGAGGACATCACTCTACTTGGCAGGGCAAGGGAGCCAGCGCAAGACAACCGGGAGTACCGCTTTGCTGCATACAGAAGCTTTATATATTGGAAACCAGTTGATAATTCCCAGCTGCTGTGTGGAGGATCAGGGGTGGCTTGATCCCTATGCTCAGTATACTGGATATATTCCTGGCCACTAGCAAAACTTCTTTAATATGTGGCTACATGCACATTTGGGGCATCAAATGTCAACACCAACTTGTTTGAAGTGCTTTGTATTCCGTTAGAATTATTTAATGTTGCATTTTTTTGAATAAATCAAATTTTGTGATGTAAAAGGTCTGATCAATTGCATATCCTCTTCATGATCTGTGAAAACCACACACATTTTCTAGTAGGACGTAGAAGGTTTCTTCTTCTATGCATTAGCTAGTGAAAACACATTAAGCCACAGTGTTCTTGCTTATAATTACATGACAGTGAGCTGTTAATATTTACAAAGCAGAAGCATGCATGTATATTTTAGACATGTCTACACAGACAAGTACAGTCATTACAGCATGTGACTATCATACTGTAATTGAGTTCGATTTTTGGGGGGGGACAAAGATTAAAGACATTTGAAGCAGTCTTCTAAAGGTGAAAGATCATCATTTACAGATACAGACTAAATAAACCAACCAATTTACAGAAAAAAAACAATTAAAAAGCTGTTGATAAGTTTTTATTTATTGAAATAATGCTCTGAACATTTAGACACAAAATGCAAAATGTGTTCGTACATCTTGAAAAGGAAAAATAGACCACGCTGGTATTATTGAACTTAGCAACCTGTGATACAACAGCACCATTGGTGCAAAATGGATATTTGTTTGACAAAGTCCATAAAGTGCATTTGAAGTGATTGGTTCGAGGGTCGTAGCAAAAGGCACGTGTTTTGATGCGGGACACTGTTCCCTGGTCAGGGGCATCCCTGCTCCTGAACAGAGCCTCCTCGACACAATCCTGGCCTGCAGGACCCTTTTCAAATCTGAAAGAAATAACAGCACACATGAATTCAATTATCCTTACAAACAGTAAGTTTGAGCTCCCCAGCCAAAACATTGTTTTAATGCATCTGTATTGTAGAGAATGTGAAGTATTTATCACATGATGACAGCAACAACAAAAGCATTGCGAAACAGCCTCGTGATTTCTGCATAATGAGTGCCAAGCTAATAGCATTATTTAGATTAGTGACCCACCGTAGTTTAGTTGAGAGCATGCCAACAGACAGCCTGAGCTTGGACGTTACTATACAAGATTTCTAACGACTGCATCTGCTACATCATAGCTGGAGTAGGGAAATTAAAAAAAAAAAAAAAAAACGACCGTATATATTTTCGTAATGATACCCAAGTGTTCATAACCGCTCATGCAACTCGTTAGCTTCCTCGGCTTGGCCTATTCAGGTGTTGCTTAACGCTTCGAAGCCCGTTCTGTTTTACTATAAAGCAGCAGATGAGAATAACCACATTGATCAAACAAACAATCGATGGCATTTAAATATCTAGAAAGAATGCATGTTTTAGCTCGAGCCTGTGGCCGGCATTGTTGTGCTAGCGGGCTAATGTTAGCATATTGTAGTTAGGTCGTAGCTTTACATATTGCACATTACACGGAAAGACCGTGCTTTTAAACACTTACCATTCAAATAAGCAGAGCGTATGAAATTGTTTTTTTTTTCCTCTAGTCAGTGACTAAAAAATAGAAACGTTTATGATAGATAGACCACTAGGACTCTATCGGGGTACTTACGCATCCAGGAGAAGCAACGCCAGCTCAGAGTCGTGTTCGAGCCCCTTCGTTGAGCGTAGGGCTCTCCATCGTGGAAAAGCCAGCCCAATGTTGATTCGAGTTCTACTCCGGTCTTTGTCTGCTGCTGTTCTAGCAAAAGACCGTTATTTTTTAGGTGGGGGACCAGCCGGTGGAAGATCTTCCGTCGTACGCGTCGCACTGGAGTCCGCCATTTGGAACACTTCTTCCCTCGGTGTAGGGGCGGTCCGTGGCTGCGCTTTTATACACAAGGGGCGGGCCTAAAGAAGGGGGGCGGACGGGCCGGCTAGATAAACATTGCTTCTATATCAACAAAGCCAGTGGGACTGGAGCTTCTCACTCATTGGAAACAGTCTTGACTCAGAGAATTATATACACAACGGACATACTTGATTTCTGATACATTCGCATATAACGCCTTTAAATTGTCACAGATCGGGAAAACCAAGAGGAGGACCCAGATGCAGAATCAACAAAAATATTTAATCAAACAAAAAGGCACACAAAAACTCACTTCCAAAAATCTGAACAGGAGAAAACAAGGAGCCACGGGTAAACTGACACCGACAAACACATACAATGAACTGACACAAAATGCAAGAAACACAGAGACTAAATAGACACAGGGGTAATCAAACACAGGTGAGACTAATAACACAGGTGAAGACAATGAGGGCAATCACAATGGAGGGAAACACACAGAGGAAGGAATGGACACAAGAAACGCTGAGGACAACTACAAAATAAATACATGAAACATTGAAGACACACAGAACTCAAGAATGAACAAAACACACTAGAACATACAGAAACACTGAAAAACAAAACTAGAAAAGACCAAATCATGACATAAATACTTTCTGTAGCCGTTACCTGTCAGTCACTTAATGCATGAGGAAGGCCTGCTCTGTAGTAGGACAAAATCTTATCCATCCTGGATAACTCCTCTCACCTTCTACATGGTGAGCTGTGGCAGATGGGCAGCTCCTTCAGCCAACGCCTCATCCCCCCCAGGTGCAAAACAGAGCGCTTCAGGCGCTCCTTTGTGCCCACTGCCATAAGACTGTACAACAGCAGCCTATGACAACAATAACAGTACGTCCTTGACACTAAACTTCACCCCCATAAAACACTACCCACATGACCTGCTTCATTATTATCATTGTATTATTGTATTATTATTATTATTTAGCATCAATATATATATATATACATAGATACTGTACATTCTATATATTTTCATTATATTACACTATATTGTTCATATTGCACTATATTATATTATATTATATAACTGCACTCTGCAGTACTGTGGTACAACACTGCCTCTCTTCTCTGCTGTTTACATTACTTGCTGCTATTTATCATACCAAGTCACTTTAATTACTTGTCACTTTATCTTGTCATTCTCTGCAAATACTGTCTCAATTCTCAATTCCCCCCAGTTAACTTCATCATTCATTTTGTACAGTATATACCCCCTGGTTTTATTTTTATTTTTATTTATCTTATGTATTCTGTTTAATGTGTATTTTTGAGTTTTCTTGTCTGTGCTGCTGTAACGCCCAAATTTCCACTCTGGGGATCAATAAAGTACTATCCTGTCCTATCCTATCCTATTTTCTGACTCACAACAAAAAATGTTGGCTTGGAGTGGAAGAAAAAAACCCAAATACAACCATTGTTGGAACCCAGTAAGGTTAAGAGTTGTTCAGGACTTGTGGAAGAAGATGGGGACTTAAGTTCAGAGGGCTTATAAAGCATGTCCTGAATGCTTGCAGATTGCAGAAGAGGCTAGTAGGGTTTATTTCCAGGAACTGTTCTGTGGATGCTTTTTTTTTTGCGCAATCCAGTGATGGCATGCCAGTGACCTCATACTCTGCGTCATCAAACTTTTGCTGTGGGCAGAATATGGTGTTCAGGAAATGCACCGCTTCAGTTCCAGCTGCAGAAGGCGGTCTTGCATTTCTGCACAAAGAAGGAAAGCACCTGCATGGATGTCCCCAGCTCAGACCTGTGGGGTGGTGCAGCTGGGACAGGTTATCTTAGGCCTGGCACACGCAAAAAAACAAAAAACTTTAAGTGATTTAGAAAATGGGAGCGAGCCCACACATGACGACAAATCATGACAGATTTAAACAGTTTTGTTCTTATAGCATGTGGAGTAACAAGATGACCACTTCAGCACACCTCACACTTCAAACATGATGGGCAAGCTAAATGTGGCTATCTGTTAGCTGGTACATCCATTACAGTAAACACTTTGGACCAACTCATTTCCTTGTCAGTGGGATTCTGGTTGGTCTTACATACATGTTGTATGAACACTCGTGTTGTTGCCACAAATCAACAAGTTGGTCCTCCTTTTATGACGTCCATCTAACTTTATACTTCCCGTTTGCTGTCGTTGTTGTCATGGTTATGTTTGTTGTGCTTCCTGCTTTGGTTAATGGCTGTTGTTCCTTTCCATAGTGACAATTCACAGATTCCGTGCTTGGTTCCTGATTGTAAATATTGAACAAGTTTAATTTCCTGAATCATTCCAAGGCTAAAAAAAAAATCCTCGCTAGGATTTTTTAAGCTAAGTTAGGAGCTCTCTGTGAGGATTCTCTGAAAACGGGCCTGGATCATCAATTCAGCCACTCTCAGCCTGCCCATCTGTCATTCCTCTACTCAAAAATACAATCTGTACAAATCATTAAAAACATTACTCCAACTTATTACACTGCATCTGTGTTCTGTATTTTGGCTCTAGGAGAAAGGAAACTTCCATTAGCATAACAGTGTGTGTTTTTTATGGCTTTCATCATGTTTTTTTTTTCTTTGGATCTGTTGGGTGTTTTTGCGGTAGAGTAAAATACAAACACCAGTACAAACTGTGAAATCAGCAACTGACGTCAAACAAAATCAACATTTCTGTAAACTGCTCAACATTTTCCTAGTATGTGACACAAGTTTTGAACCATTTGACACTCCCAACACTCAAATCAACCACTTCAATCCAAATAATGCTAAACGGGGTCACGAAAAAAAACCACAACTTTGAATCATCTGCTCTGCGCCTGTTTTGTCCTATTTATCTGTTGTTTAGCACACTACATTCATAAACAGCTTCCTGTCATAAGTGATAGAAGTCAGAAACAGAATCAGTTTTATCTTGCTCTGTCAAGCTTTTTGAATTTCCTTTTCAGCTAAAATATTAGTCTCATTTTTTTTTTTTTTTTCATTTGAGTGACAGATGAACTTGGTGTTATCCAAAAAAGTGTAGGCGTATTAATTCATCATTTGAGAGATAGAGGGAAAAAACAAGAAATAACTATTTCATAGAGAAGGGACCAAATAATGCAAACCAATGACGTTAATGTTTGGTATATGTTGTGCATTGCTTTCTCTTGTCTTTAATCTGCTGTTTGTGTATTTCGATATTTCATATTTGTTATCTTGTCTATTACTGCTGGGCCAATTGTCACTAATGAAAAACCATTGTATTTCATTCAATGACAATAAAGTAAATAGTAAATGGACTTGAGCTTGTATAGAGCTTTTCTAGTCTTCTGATTACTCAAAGTGCTTTTACACCGCAGGTCACACCTACACATTCACACACTGATGGTAGAAGTGACCATCAGAATGAACTTATCCCATTCATACACATTCATACCCTGCAGACGAAGCAGTGGGACATGTGGCTGCAGGAGCTGGGGATCGAACCCCACGACCTTCCAGTTGAGAGACGACCAATTCTACCAGAAGTGTCTTATGTCTTCAATCAATGTATTCCTATTGGACGTAACTGTAACTGTGTAACTGTAGCTCCGGTGTTAGAAAAGTTGTTGTTAGTTTTGAAACTCAGAGCTTGTATTAATGTTGGTTCCAGTATTTTAAATTGAGGTAACATCAAGATGTCTGCGTAGGTTCTCAGTCATCCAGGTCATGATAAATGCGAAGCTTGATCCAAAGGTAACTGGACTGGTTGAAGATCTAGAAGACGTTTCAATGTGGACCACAGAGGCTTACATTTCTAGCCGTTAGTTTGAAGCCTTTCGGAGGAGACAGGTGAAACGCCTTCAAAATCCTCAACCACTCCAGTTGCCTTTGGGTCAAGCAATACCTTCATGGTAGTGAAGGATTACTGAAACACTGTTGATGTGGACTTTGGGTGTTGACCTCTTTATATAATGGTTTTCAACAGTGGCACCTTGTGGTAACCATCTGTGACACTAGGCTTTTTTTAAATTTTGAATGGGGAGTTTACCCTGTTATTGAATCACCAAGCAACAAGGACTCGATGATGGGGTAAGCTCTATCCTGAGAGGCATTTTGTCATCATTTTGTACAACATTTGTGTCTCCAAGAGTTTGTCGTGCTGAGATGTCAAATCACTGTCAGTAAACAGCTTGAACTGTGACTTGTATTTCCTGTTGAACCAATTTGTTTTTTTTGCTCATTGCATGTGAAACCACAATTGAAGCTAGCTCTGGACCACAAAGAACATATTTATACAACATCACATTTTGTAACTTGGCCATTTCTGTCATCCGTTTTGTCATAGTGGACAGAGTGATGCACTTGAGTCCGAAAGGAACGGAAGCTTTGGTGAAATGTTGATTTCGTAAGGCTTTGTTCATTCAGCTGAGCATTACATAAGTAGTAACAGTATAATTCCATACACCTGAGAAAAGCACTTAATATACTAATATAAACCTCTCGTACAAAATAAGCAGTAGAAATATACTATTCACGTGGCACTTTATGAATTATTTTTTAGGTTTAAGTCACATACACTACTATAAATAAAATAAAAACATAGCACATACAACTTGCCTAGCAATACCCACATAGCTTTAACAATGTAAGCTATACATTTTTTTACATATAGGTCAACCTTGTATCATACAAACATTTGCGTTTAGTGAAAAAGGGTTTAAGAAATCATACAAAATTAGTAGATGATATGAAATGTGTATATTTTTGGACACTCAATGCTTTGATTTGAAAATTAAGAAAAGACCTGTTAAAATGTTTTTAGGTGTTGTAACTCTTAAAGGGCATTTTCTTCACATCAAAGTATAGCCAAGCGATCTCTGTAAGGTTATACTCACACAATGGTGCTTAAAATTAAATGCTTATGCTAGCTGGTTCAATATTTCACATGTTACTTTAGCGGGTTAGCAAGCTAGGATTTGATATTTGGCACTAAATATAAAGTACAAATGAAGCTCAAGAGACAGTCAACAGTTTGGAGGTGTTGGGTCATAAACCGATGTGCTTAACAAATGAAAGAACAGACCTGATGATGGCTGAAAAATTGAATAAAAGGGGAAGTCGAAATCAGGGGAAGTCGCAGCCCATTCTTTTCCCTTAATCGTCAAACACCAACTGTTTGTCAAGTCTCTTTGTGTCTTTAACAGCTCACTTCTTATCCTGAAAGGGTCTGTATGCGAGCACCAGAACTCTCAAGTAACCCAAATCTAAACCAGTTTGCTGTTTTAGATGCTTTTCTCTGTGTTAAATAGTAAAAAGGCAGGTAAATACTGTTTACAAAGGACTTTCATCCAGGAGACTTGGCTACAAGTCCTATGAAAAAGCAAAGAATAATGAAGTAACTATTCAACGCTCACTTCTGTAATTTTTGATGGATTAAATATACATTTCTTTTAAACCCAACCATTAGTTTAGGAGTCTGAACCTTACCAAACAGGCCGTTTCAGATTGATCATGATTTGAAAGAAAGCCCATTGGCGTCTCTATTTGACAACTTAGGGGGAAAAAAAAAAACATTGAAAGTCTGTGAATATAAAACCGAGGGTTACATCAATAAGAGTACTACATTTAGGATAATCGACCCTTGAGTTGTAATTGATGTCATGGAAACCCCATACCAACAGCGAGGTGTTGTTGGTCTTTTTAATGCATTATCCGAATGCCCACAAAGGTTTAGCACCAATCCATCTACCTTCACAGAAGTCAAAGTATTTCTTTAAAGTCAAAATGATGTCATTAGGATTCATCCATTGGGGATCATAAGACTTTGTACCAAATTTCATGCCAACCCATCCGAAGGTCGTTGGAATATTTACAGATAATAATAATTTATACTTTATTAAGTTTTGGAGTGACTTAAGCACATACACACCAGTATTGAGGTCTTAAAAGCAACGACACAACTTTATTAGCCATTTAAATAAATATATACAAATAATCAAGTTCCTCACATTAACATACTCAAATGGAGAACAAGCAAGAGACTGTCTTGAAAGAGACACTTCTAGAAGTTGGTGTTTGACGTGTGACAATGTTATAACTGCCTACTGGAGGCAACTTTTTTTCATTAGAGTAAAAAAAATACAAAAATACAAAATTACTAGGCGACATAATTTGTGTAATTAATCAACTAGAAAATAAAAAAATCATGCACACTTCTCTTGCTAAGTATCACCAATTAATATTAGAAAAATCACAACGTTTCGGTCCCTCTGAACCTTTGTCAAGTGTGCTCTAGGCTCAGAGGGGCCGACACGTTGGGATTCTTCTAAAACATTGGAGATACCTGGCAATGTGTGGGCAGGATTTTTTTTCTTTTCAAGTGATTTGTCGCCCTACGCACCTAGTTTATGAAATAGTTGGGTCTGCGAACACCTCCTTAACAAAACTTTGTAATTAATCAACAAAAGAAGTCCAAGCAAGGTTGCTTTGAAAACAGCTTCATCACTACTCCAACTGGTCAACACTTGCCAGAGTCCTGACTTCTGACTCGTTGAACCCTGTGTCTGCCAAACTGCAGCTCCTCTCCTTGTCCTTGGCTTTGAAAGGCCTCCCAAGTTTGACCGACAATGTGTGCAGGACAGAGCCCTCGTCTGGGGAAGAGCCGCTTCTGCTACTACGGGTAAAGAAAGACGTCGTTCTGCCCTCAGAGTTGGTCGCCTCGAAGAGCTTGCCCATGAAGCTGAGACCGGCCTGGCGGATGTGGGAGCTGCCGGCGAACACGTAGAGAATGGGGTTTACAGCGCTGCTGAAGTAAGCAAAGGCCGTGACGTTTGGACGGGCTGTAGTGGCAGCAAGGACCACCGATTCCTTTTTTGTCAACAGACCGGCTACCTGGAGACATGAGAGGGTGAGAGAGTTTAGACCAATGTAAAGTCTCAGAAACTGCTGTGTACACACACCCTAATGCAGCCTAATCTAATAGAGTCAAAAGTTATTTTAACAAATTCAGAAACAAATTGCATCACAGAATTACCTCTATGACGTTGACGATGTGATAGGGCAGCCAGAATATCGCAAATGTGCAGATGATCATCAAGATGAGGCGGCTGCCCTGCCCTCTGCGCTGGAACTTTGCACTCTGCAGACGGCAAATGACGGAGGAGTAACAGGTGTTGATGAGGGAGAAGGGCACCAGGCAGGCCATGATGGTCTCGAACAGGTACTGGAACACCCGGTGGCCCACGCTGCCCCCGTGGCTCACCACACAAAAGCGTAGAGTGACATTGACTGAAAATGTTTTCTCAACATTGCTGTGTAAGAACAGAATAAGGGAAAAAATTACAAAAACAGAAGTGAGCATCACTTGCCATAACCAGAGAGTTCAAACTAGACAAATCAACTTTCAAGATTAAATTTATTCCAACTACAAGGTGTTTTGTCTCGGGGTCTTCACCCATGCTGCAGACATTAAACTTAATTTATGATAAGCATTAAATATCTTTAAATAATGCCTGAAAAAAAATCTAAGAAGATAAATAACACCAGGTTCCTAAGTTAATATTTGAATTATATTTTTAGCCCTAATTACCCGAGTATATATTAAAAAGTTAAGAGCCAAGTACCACTAAAACATTCAGTGGCAGCCCACAGTCACTGCTATACTTTCGGCAAGAAAACACATCTGCTAACGTTATGTCGTCTTAATAACACTTGTCTCTTATTAATTGCTTTTATGTCGTTCCTAGTTTTTCCTGAGCCGCCCATGCTGGGTTGTGATCCATGCTGGATGGAGCCCAGCTACCATTCATGACTGCTAGTTAACATGAGCGAGCATCTGCCAGTGTGCTGCAGCTGACTGATATCCAGTGCTGTGGGGTTTTGGCAGGCTGATGTTTTTTTTTTTGCTAATTTTTGTGTCTTGTATCGGGGGCCGCCATGACAGAGCCGTCATGACAGAAACAACGTCTCTATCGTTGCCGTGGAAACACCGGATGCTACGTCAAAGACAGCCGCATAAAGAAATGTGAACTGCTACTGAAAGCTGCCGTACTGTTGCTGTATGAGCTGCTGTGATAAAAACTTTACTTCAATTGTACTTGGATACATCATCACTAAACATATTAACTACGGTCAAAGTGGAGTTCTATTTTCATTGAGGCTAGGGGTGGAGTAGCAGAAAGGACTCCCATGATTCCCCGCCGGCCTCAATGTAATCTTTTGTTGTTGTTTTGATTGACAGCCCCCTGGTGGTGGAATTTACAAAGTTAAATATTTGGATATTTCAACATTTTCTGAACATATCTTTAAAATATGACAATTAAGCAACAGAGATGAGAGCCAAGCAGTTCCACAGTATGTAAGGAGATTGATTAGTTGAAAATATTTCTCAAACAATCAGCAGTCGGTATTGGACCTCCTAATATTTGTTACAGTTTCCTTGTGTGTGCACAGAACTTTACAAGGGACGACAGTGAGATTATAAGCTTTTTCATTTACAGCCTGTTTCCAAAATGTTTGGTCACATTTCAGATTCCAAGCGTTCGGTCTAAGACATCTTGAACATTGAATAAAGAGAACCAAATACTACCAATGATGCAGCTTCCTTTCTGTTCCCTTCATGGAAAAATTCATCACATCCATTTCAACTTTCTCAAATCTTTAAAGGAAACATGGAACATGTTGGTCTCACCTGCGGTAGAAAGGCATCGGCAGTGACAGGATGAACGCTAACCACCACACCCCCAGTAGGAGAAGCAGCAGGGTACGTTTGGTTCTCATCCTCTGGGACATGAAAGGTCTGGTCACAGCCAACCAGCGGTCCATGCTCATCAGGCAGATCAGGTAAATGGACACGTACATGTTCACGCTTGACAGGTAATGCACTAGCTTGCATGCCGCGGATCCAAACTCCCAACCTCGACCTCCAGCCAGGTACCGCAGGAAGAGAGGGGCACTGAGCAGCACGAAAGCATCCGCCAGAGCAAGATTCAGCACTAACAAGCAGGTCACTGAGCGCTTCTTCACCCGGCACAGCACCGACCAGACCACAAACAGGTTCCCGGGAAAGCCGAGCAAAAGCGCCAGGGTGAGGATGACGATGCCGCCCCATGCCGAGGCACTGATGGGCAGAGTAAAGTAGGGAGGGGAGGACTGCTGGGAGATGGTGGTGGAGTTGGACGCCATTGGAGAAAACCTCTGTAGAATCTGGGTTCAGGCTTCGACGACTGTGTAACGGACAACCTTTCAAAAGACAGGAAACAGGATATGTTGTATAGATGTTTGTAAGATGTGAATATGTGTCAATGCTGCGAAACATTGCACAATATCAGTTATTCATTTACACAGTTGGTTTCTGGAACTTGATGTAAGGCAGAGTATCCTGTTATCAACCAACATATAACAAAATGATAGTGATCATGACCTATTGGCTTGAGTTATTCCACAACATTTCAGCCATGTGTTACATTTATTACTTAAAAATGCTGTACAGCAAGTTAATAGTTAGAGTACAATGCAATCAGCTCAAAAATTAGGGGCACTAGTGGTGCAGTGGTGCAGTGGTTAGTGCGCATGCCCAATGTATGGAGGCAAAGTCCTCAGGTTCAAATCTAACCTGAGGCTCCTTTCCCACATGTCATTCCCCACTATCCCTCCAAAAAAAGCCACGATCTCTCCAAAATGCCAAATGAGTCTTAAAAAAAGTGTACTTTTTTAGCAGTTTTGACTTTTTCAGAATTTTAAAACAAATAGCATTTTCAAAAGATGAATTATATGTCATGGGTTCCTTCTTTTAGTGTTCTTGTTGTTTTTTTTAAATGACACGTTCGGATTAAAAAGATCCCGTCCTCCTTCAGATTTCAAAAAAAGCTTGAGAATGAAAAAAAAAAGAATGAAGGAGCACAGTTTGTGTTAGAACGGATGTAAGAGTTTTGTTTTAGACAAAGAAGTTATGAACTGAAAAAAGCTCAAACTAAAAACTGAAACACATATTGTCTTTGTATTGCTGTGCTGTATCCCCTGAAAGCAAGGTCACACACCTCAAGGGGTTTATCCTGATATAATACATTTCACTCAACACAAATGTTCAACAAAGAGCCGCAGTCTTATCGCTTAGAGCAGACTCCAAATATTCAATCTGTAACTTTCTCAGATTCATTTCATCCTCTGAGATTTGAGTTCCCTCTGCTCTACAAAGTTGTAGAAACAATAAAATCAAATTAGGAAGTCAGATGCTATCACAGAGGAACATTTTATTAAATTTAAACTATAAAAAAAATCATATACCAGTACTGACCTTCAATTGCAGAACTCCGTCTGTGTATAACTGCAACAGTAAATCCAAGTCAAAAGTTATATAACACCTTGTCTGAGCTACTGTCCTCTCTCATGCTTTGCTGTGAGGACTGTGTGTGAGGAGAAATACAAACATCTAACATTTATATTGAGTAAGAGGGTAATGTGAGGGGAAATCCTGTGAGAACAGGAAGCCAGTTTGAGCTCACTGGGTTGCGATAAATGTCATGTTCCACATTTTTCTGTTTCATATCAGTGCATCAGAGACCTTTTCAACTCAGGTATGCATTGCAGCATTGGTGAAAAATATAGTTGTCATGGCGTCCATCTGCTTTTTTTTTTCTGTCCGGTACAGATTATTTGAGACAGGCATTATTGGAGGGAGAAGAGCAGAAGTCATGCGAAAAGTTGTGAAATGCATGGTGTACATTTCAAGAACAGGAATGAACAGCGCAAGAGACAAGTCATGAAGGGTGAATAAGTGAGGGGGAGAATATTCCAGTAAGCTTGCAAGAATCCTGTTGATACAAGAGCTTCATATCATAACCTTATGATGGGCACGGTGCTCTCTCTTACAACAGACACATTGTCAGATTCACGGCATGTTTCTCTTTCCACATCACCTGTATTGATTAACCAAGTTTTGATGTGTCATTTTGTCAGGAAAAGAGACTTTACATCATTTTGTTTTTTTCTGACTTTACACACTGCCCTTTTACTTCTCTTTGAAGCTGCATACATTCATAGCGGGAATCGCAGGGCAACTCACATTACGTCACTATACAATGCAACTTAACTTTCACTCACGTTACCCGCATCCATATCACAAGTGCCACCGTGAGGAGGTGACGTGCTGAGTCAAATTGGCAGGGAAATCTGTTAGTTATAGTTTCTTTTTAAATGATCAAAATTTGAAACAGCGATTTGGTGATCGTATAACACAAGTCAGGACTACAATATATTGCCATATTGATATTATTTCCCAACTCCTTTATCAACAGTTCAGTTATTGACTATGTGAAACTATGTGAAAGGGGCCCTTTCTTTGGGAAAAATCCCTAAGAGTTTTGTCACAAACCTCTGCAGCGCCTGTCGGTTCTAAGGAACGTTTAAGAGTCTCTAAGCTCTTTGTTTAGATTTTTTTAAAAATTATTTTTGGGCTTTTTATGCCTTTAATGGAGAGACAGGACAGTGGATAGAGTTGGAAACCAGGGAGAGAGAGTGGGGAGCGACATGCAGGAAGGAGGCCACAGGTAGGATGCGAGTCCAGGCCGCCCGCTTGAGACGACAGCCTCAATACGTGGGGCGCTCGCCCTATCCATTGCGCCACCAGCATGCCGACTTTGTTTAGATTTTTTAAAGGAAAAATATGTAACTCCTAGTGTTTACAATGGGTACTGCAGTCCATATACAATACAAATATTGAAGAGCGCTGTCTTCAAACAAACCATTTAGGACCAAAATATAAACTTAGAAGGAGGACATACTGGTTGCTGCATTGTTGACAGAGAAGCCAGCACTTCAACATAGCATGTTTCCTTATATAGTACGGTCCTTTCATCGTTTAATTCAGTAGATATCTGACATGTTGGACCTTTAAGGACCAGAACTTTAGAGTTCGGTTAAGTCTCGCTGCTCTTACTCTTATCGGTCCGATCAACCTATTGTGCAACCTTGTCCAGCACCAAACACTTGACAGTCATAGAGTATGAGTTGGCAATAGAGAATAGCCATATATTTCAGTAGGTGGTTGAGACCAAAACAGAGGCCTAAGGAGAAAAAACAGAGCAAACTTGTTTGAAAATGAAAGCTGTTTTAACGGCTTGTAATTCTACCCCACAGTGGCAGAAGAATAATGTATACAACAAATAATAGTAGACAAGCACAACATTTAAAGTGTGGATCCTGTAATACACAAACTCAAGAGCCTCAGTGAACTGAATGCTTGTCTCTGAGGTAAAGCGATATTTACTGTTCTTGTTCATTTTGATGTTTTGATGTCACCATAATGTATTTTAGAGAAAAAAAAAAACAATTGATAACAAAATGACTGAATGAATGAAAAATCATTTTAAAAAAAAAGTACAAAACAGCAATATCATACAAATGTACAGTCAGCCCATAGCATCATCTCGCCTTGATGGATGAAAGGGATGAGGAGAATTATCGTCCTGGATAAAACTCCAAAGTTTTTCCTCATGTGGTTCAGAGTGGAACAAGGCTCATATCTTGTTCTGGTATAAGCTTAGACAGAAATCTGTCACTTTAGGTTGCATTGGGTGACAAGATTAAGTTGCAGATGCCGAGTAAAGAATCAGCTGTGTAGGATCAACCCTCAAGTTTGTTACTCTAAAAAGCAGTTTGAAGGCTTAAGTGGTTCATTTGTCTCCTCCAGGGAATCAACACCAGACTCAGTTCTGCTCCGCCGCAGCCCTACTTACCGTTCTTCACTGGTTTGACATTAGAGCTCGAGTTGTTAACAGAGTCTGCTTCTTTGTCATTTAGCATAACAGAGCCTGCGTCTTTGTCTTTGTCGCGACTGCAATTCTGGCTGTTCTGTCGGCTCTTTCTGGTGGCAGAGTCCAGAGCTGTGCCCTCAAACAAGCGGGCCATGAACGCCAGCCCTTCTCGCCGGATGTAGGACTTTCCTGCAAAGAAGTAGAGCACTGGGTTGGCACAGCTGCTGATGAAGGCTATGGCAGAGGTGACAGCACGGCTCCTGTGCCATATTTTATTCAATCTGGGAAGAGATCAGAGCATTTTACAAGTCAGATATTACAGAAAAATACAATGCTTCCAAATTCAACAAACACTGCACATTTTAAATACTTCATCTGTTTAAAGCATTTCCTAAAAGATCAAACCACAATTTATTTCTGATAGTAATTCAAAGATCAGGTAGGAAGCTAGCTTAGCTTAGTTTAGCATAATGACATAACACTGCTCGTTCAAAAGTTGAAACTTACACCCATTAGTGCTTCTCAACATTTTAACACACTGTGATCTTCCGTAATTATTTCAATGGACCATGGTCTATATTTTTTGTTTCAAGAAAAGAAAAACAAGTACAGTGACAAGCTCTGTTTTATAAACATTGCACAAAAAGTAAGGAAATTTGTGTTTGGTAGATTATTTCTTTATTGTAACAATGCTTCATGGCAATAAATCTTATACCATTGGAAAGCCTGTTTATTTCCATTTTTAATGGTGCCACATTTGTAAGGAACATACATTTGTGGGATGAGCAGCAGAGCTGAGTATGTGGGATGCGCCCATGAAAAACTTGCCAAATCTTCTCTGCCAATGCCAAACTTTTTGTGCCATGTTTAGTTAAGGTGCATAACTCCAAGTATAACCACCAATAGTTGCTCTAATACAGTTTTTTTTAACCTGATTTGTATGCCTTTGAGATGCGGATGACAGTATTTTTGAACATTGCAGAGGTGGTTGTTGTTTCTCTAGTTCTGTAATAACTTAACTAAACTAAGCTTAGCTAAGCTAATCGCCTCTGGGATCTTCACGCCTCTCAATCTTCACCCAGAGACACTTGCAAGGTGAAATGTTCTCAGCTAACTCAGAAATACAAGGAATTAATCATATTTTCCAAAATGTTAAACTGTAAGGGACCCCCTTGAAAATGAGACGGTGCATCTCAAGGGGCTGTCCCTCCAATAAAAAATGTCAAATGAAATGGCCTAATATGACTGTGACTCATCAGCACAACTAAAGTATCCCCCATTATGACCCATTAATTAATTAGTCCAGAGATACATTTGTTTATATTGTTAAATTAGCTTTAAAAATAAAATGCACATAAATTTGTTATCACTTACATTTGTTTTAAGTGACCCTCTGGACACAAAGCCCATGCAACCTGAGAAGAACACAAAAACACCAAGTTAAAAAAGGGACCAATGTAATTATAAAAACAATAAAAAAAATCCAGCTCTGATGAATTTACACATATATGCATTTGAATCCAATTGTACTTGGCAGAAAGTTTCACATGTGAAAAAAGGTATATGACGTACTTGCACCATGTTGATAATGTGGTATGGCAACCAAAGGAGGCAAAAGGTCAACACGATGGCCAGGATGAGCTTCTCACTGCGAATGCGTCGCCCAAACTTGGTCTTTCGGATCCGCCGTAAGATGCAGATATAGCTGACCACGATGACAGGGTAAGGAATGAAAAACCCCAGCACGAGCTCCAGCGAGTACTGCAGAACCGCCTGGGCAGGGGTGATGAAGTGAGAGAGAAAAAAGGGGCAACATAATATTACAGTCACAATGAAACCTGGGTTTTTAGGAAACAAAGTAAGAGGATAATTCAACCTTGATATGGGTTGCTTATTGTTTACTTTATGACAATAATAATATGTGTTTTTGTTCACTTACATAGCTGTCGTGATCGTGGAATGAATCGCAAACCGAAGTGTCCGTCCCCTCCTTGTTCTTCACTTTCCTGTAGATCATTGCAGGAATTGAGGCGACCATCACCACCACCCACACCACCACTAGCACCCGTAATACAAGCTTCCTGTTGCTGAAAGAGCTGACGCGCTGTGGCCACAGAATTGCAAGCAATCGGTATAAGCTCATCAATATAATGAGTTGGATGGAGGCGTACATGTTGACCAGACACAGGTAGAAGAGGACCTTACACATCACATTCCCAAACACCCAGTTCTTCAGCACCAGGTAGACAATGAAGAATGGGGTTAGAGCCATCAGGGAGCCATCTGCAATGGCGAGGTTGAGTATGAGGAGGGTGGTGATGGACTGTTTCCGGGCTCGTGCAAGGATGCTCCAGATAATGAAGAGGTTTCCGGGAAAGCCCAAAAGAAAAACAATGCTCAGGATGAGTGCGCCTACAGCGGTGGCAGTCTGGTTATCCACAAGGGTCTCATTGCCTGCAGAGGGAGGGCTGGTGCTGTTTAAGGACTGGGCCATTATTGTGACCTGTAAAATAGAGAATAACAGTTGACTCAGTACATTTATATCTTTATATAGTTGTTCAAGTCAAGTCAACTTAAGTCAAATTGTACTTGTATACCACTTATCACTCACATAACAACACAATCTGCCTAACATTAAGTATTAATAGATAATAATAACACTTAAATAAAAGTGCATATTGAGAAAAATATCCAAAAATTTACAAATGGAAAAATGGTTATCAAGCAATGCACAACATGCACACCACATATGTGTCCAAGGCAGAAACCTCTGGTGGAGGAAAATTAAGCAAATGCAGAATTGAACATACAAGTCTGGAGACATACAATAATGAAAACACAACATCATATTTCCTTTACCATTAAATAACTCAAGAAGATCAAATGTGACTGTTATTCCCTGGCCAAAAAATAACTATGACATTAGGGACTTCTTCAAGATTATCTGACTGATAAACATCCTACTCCCTTCTTTGATTTGACAAGTATGTATTTCTCCTGGAAAGTGTGGGAGTGTGGCGCAAGTGTAACAGGTTTTAACGGGGAGTCTTGATTCCTGAACGACGAGACCAGACACGATTAGAGAGAAACAGTCACTGCTTGCGTCAGTTATTGAACAGTGAGTCAGACTGAGATTATATCTTTTTTGTTTCTCTTCAGGTCTGACGAGGCCATCCAATCACAAAAGTAGTTTGAATTAATGAAGACCAAGAAGAACACATTCCAACAGGAAAACGACCCTAAGCTACCTCTGGACATTAGGCAGGCTTGTTCTGTTGAGGTTTTTAAAGCAAAGTTAAAGACCCATCTGTTTATTGTTAAGTATGAGTCATGATTTCTCTGTATGTTTTTCCTGTATTTTAACTGTATTGCTTTGTACAGCATTTTGATTTAAAGCGCTTTATAAATAAATGTATTATTATATTATTATTATTATAAGCTCACAGCAAAGTCAACGCATGAGGGACGACTTTATGAATGTCCTTTGACGAGCACAGCCAGAGCACCGGACTTGAAGAGACCTGAACATGGCTGTCCACCAATGGTCCCCATCCAACCTGACAGAGTTTGAGAAGACCTGCACAGAAGAACGGCAGAAAAACCCCAAAACCAGTTGTGCAAAGCATACTGAGTAAAGGGTCTGAATGCTTATGTCAGAGAGATTTTTCAGTTTTTCTTTGCACCTTTTAGAAAAAGCTAAAGACCCAGCTCTTTCATGAATACCTACTAACTTAATGATGATGGTCTCGATTATTGATGATGGTTGTCACGATGGTTTTTGTTTGATAACGACGACTTATAAGATGGTTTCTATACTGATTAGAACTGCCCTCAATGTTGTGCTTTGCCTCTTGTAGTGGAAAAATAATATCTGTCTGTCATATTCGTTTGAACTTAAAAGATTAGGATGTTCGTGCGTCATTTAGCGATTAAAAACTGTTTCTCTGTATGGCCTTGGTCTGTATCTCCAACAGGATCTTTCCTCAGTGTCTGAGTACTGCATAATCCTAAATCAGTGCCCTCCGGACAAAGGAGTTTCTGTTGATGTTAGATAAATCACCGGGCAAACTAGCAGAAGGCGAAGTCACTAGGGCAAGCTGAAATCAATGACGATGTATTACTCATGTATATGTAATACACCTACACACTCATGTATGTGCAAAATACCTACACCCTGTGAAAGTGTAAATATGCTCTGCACCCGGGACTGAATCTTTGATGCACTTGTGACTGATGTTACTTTTGTAGCTGATTACCCCTTTTGCAATATATTTACTATATGCAATACAATAAAGAACGACAAAAGACTTTGACTTGAGATCTTTCATTACCAACAGAAAAATCCACAACACTCTGTGCAAAGCCTGTCAGCACCTGTGTATCTAATCGGACTCAATGAGTCAATGAGCTGATTGTTTGCTCTTACTGACATCTTTTCCTTTTTTCTAGATCCTTGCTTTTGTTGTACTTACTCTCTGATGTACGTTGCTTTGGATAAAAGCGTCTGCTAAGTGAATTGTAGAATTGTAGAATTAATAAATGAGCAAACATTTCTAAAATCCTGTTTCCACTTTCTCATTATGGTGTATTACGTGCAGATTGATGAGGTGCATAATGAATTTAATTGATTTTACCATAAGGCTGCAACATCACAAATTGTGTAAAACGTGAAGGGGTCTGAATAGATAGAGATAGATGAGAGTCACCATAAACATGTGCATGTTCATGCAGCATGCTTTGGTAAGTATGTCTTCCTGTCAGGAAATAAACAGTATGTAGGCTACAGCTGCTACTTCATCTCACTGGAAAAAAATTGAGAAAAAAATTGGCATGTCATCGCTTGTTCAACATATCTGGATTATTAGTTTGAGAGCACGCCCTTTACGCGGCCAACAAACTCTTCAGGGTTGTACCTCCTGTGCATACAATCAAAAAATTCACACCCACATCTGCCGTTTGATATTTCCTCTCAACCTGTGCAGTAATTATGGATAACTCAAGATCATTACAGGGTAAATCAGCGTGTAATTGGCAATTCTCAGAAAGAGAGGTCACAGCGGTTGATTAACTGTAAGAGCTACAATCACAGCAGAGCAGGAAAGTTTAAATCCCAACAACCAAAACATTTCCTTTTTACATGTGCAACTATGACACATGCCGTAACATGCTGTAGTAAACATTAAAGGAGACGCTTTACGCTTTTTAGGAGATTGTACGGAAGCCCTAAGTGGACATGCATTCATACATTCAATTAACTCCATCTGATTTTGTTATCTCAGGATTACAGCACTGGTTTTCCCATTGTAACGGATTCATTTATCTGATCATCACCAGATAACAATGCTTGCTGTGTGGTTGATGACAGGATCATTTTCTGGAGGTGCAGTGAACAAGACAATAGGCCACTCACTGTGATAGGCCAGGCCACAACATGTCATGCTTTCACTGCCCACGCTTATGTGGTAAATTAAGCCAATTTCTGTTTGTTTTGTGCTTTTGCAACTCTGGAGAAACAAGATATACAAGTCGAGATCTCAAGGAAAACGGCCGGAAAATTACTTATCGCACTAAAAAGGTGCAAATAAAATGCATGTCCTTTTAGGGCTTCCGTAGGTAGGATGGGACCTCAGAAACAGTCTTGTTCTGCTTAAATGTTTTTAATGAAGGGAAACAGTCATTTTCATTAATTGATGTTTGGCATTTCTGTTGAGTTTTGGAGTCTGTTTGATTTTACACTGTAAAAAAGACGTAGTAGTCAAAGTTGAGTCTATTAGTTTAAACAATAAGTGATTGAAGAGCAGAATAAACACATGCTCAAAGCTGTTGTGCAACTGCTGCTAATCTTTGGTAGTCAATTCCAAATGTCGGCCTTCCTTTAAAGCTCCAACAGCATTCACTTAAAAGTATTGTTATGTTGGAACCTAACAACCAAAATGGTTAATAAGTACATAAAGGAGTGAAATACCCAAATAAAAATAAGGTAAATGTAGTCACTTAAAAAAAATAGTAAGATCAGAAAATATTAGCATTTCTCAAAAGAAAAAGTCTATATTCATATTTCTTCTTGTAAGACGTTCAAATTGTGTGTGTTTTTTTTGTTCTGGCACTAATGTGTCTGTAGCAGCTTTTGTTGTTGGATACCTCCAGGTTTGAGAAAAAGAAGTAGCAGACTATAAAATGTTACCGCCCAACAACATGGAAACTGAAAGCCGGTCAAACCACACTGACAGTGCCCTGGAAAGGGCCACATTGTGCAATGATCAAGAAAATGCAACCGCCGGCTAGTTTCTGTCACGGTTATCTTAAATATCTCTCTGTTCCCTTTTTTTTAAGGTGGCAGGTTATTTTTCTCTGAAATATGTTCTGAATAAAAAACCTTTTCAAACAACTGGAGGATGAAGCTGAGCTCTCTTTACCCATTATTCTTAGCTTAAAAAAAACAGAGCGCCTAAGACCATTAAAACCGGCTGGCTCAAAAAGGTGTGTTTTGTGTGTTCAGTGTGACTCACAACATACCTTCTTAAACACACCTGCTACACCTACAGAGAAAAACTATACATGAAAACGAGCAAAGCTATGCTGCACAAGCTGACTTGCTGCATGTGTTCGAACAAATCACTGCAGACGATTGAACCTGAGGATTACCGGTATGTCACAAAAACACCTAGAATATTTAACATTTACAGATAAAATGTACAGCACAAGTCCTGTTCATCCTCAAAAAGACAGCCAAAGTTGCTTGTTCATCCCTCAACAGCAGCAGTAGCTGAGGTTGTTTGCAGTGATTTGTTGGCAGATGTATCCACAGTGTTGTCACTTACAGGATCAAAACACACTCGTGAAAAAGAGACACAGGAACAAAAAACAACAGAGACGCACCTGTAAATCCAGACAGATGCAGACGGATGAAAGAAGACGCCAGGAGCTGGAAAAAGAAGTCCAAAATGTGTTAAGAATGTCACACTCTCCCCTTTTCCTACCCTTCTCTTTCTCCCTGAGTCTCCCCCACAACTGCTCTCTGTCACTTGCTTTCCATTGATTGAGCTGTCAGACTTGCTGTAACCTGTAGTGCAGTGAGAGGGAAAGGTGTGTCCACATAACTGGCCTACCTCTGCCCTGGCAGTGTGTCGACGTCTTCACATGTCGAGAGCTGAATTCCATCTGTGTAGTGTCGACCTCAAGGGTTATTGGTGTCGAGCCCATAAATAGAATTCCAATTATTGCCATTGTACCAAAATGGTAATTATGATATGTTAGCGAACATTGTCTCTAAATTCATATAGGGAGTCTCAATGCTAAGTGAGGAAGAAGGTGAGTTGGGTGAACTTTACATTAACACACAGATTTTGTTGCCCCTTAAAAGACCTTGCAGTGTCCGTCATTCCCATGTGGCCTGTTGTTAGTACGTATTTTCATGGATTCATTCATCTTGATAATTTTGTGGACATATCTTTAAATTGTGTCAACCATCTCACAGTAATTCTTCTTTTGGGTCTGTGAAGCTGTAACCTTATATGGGTGAAGCACCTAAGTAGTAGCAGATCTATAAATGGAGAGGAGCCAACTATATGTTGTCAGCAACTGTTTGCTAGACAGAGAGTCTACATCTGTTACGTATACAAATCAGTGACATGTCATCTTTATTGTTTTATAGTGATGTACCCAAATGGAAAGGAATTTGTCTGCTGTACCTTCTAGCAGAATATAAGCCACACTGTGTGATGAAGACTTTGCCACTTGGACACTTACCCATTTTGCCATTTTGCCATTTTGCCTATGATGGCCACTTTGCCAATGATTGTCAATGATTGTGAGATCTTGGTCAGCATGGGTCAGCGATGGTCTGCACTTTGTCAGCCATGTGTGTTGTGTTTCTGTGTTGTCTGACCATGGCTGAAGAAATCTAAGATGATCCACAGTCTGTTTCACCATTTCATAATTGTCCATCTCACACAGAAATAACCCCCACCTAACACCTGTCTAAACTGTGCTGGTTGTATAAAACAAACAATCTTGCCTACACTTGATGAAATGTTCATAGTCAACCATAGAAAATGTTTGTCGCACTATGGAGCATAAACAATGCAAAGGAGACGCGGAACTGTTGAACAGCTGAAATCCTTTATGGAATAAGAAGGTTGAAGATGAAATTCCAGTTTTAAAAATAACTGAATTTGGTCTCCAAGGTCAGTGGTTCTCAACTGGTGGGTCGGGACCCAAAAGTGGGTCGCAGAGCAGCTTTTCTGGGGGTGCGAATGGGTGTCTGGAAGATAGAATTGTGTCAAAAAGTACAAGGTTGGTGGTGAGTCCTGAGGCTCGACCAGTTGAGAACCACTGTCCTAGGTTCCCAAAAACACTCACAGAGCGTTGTTGACCCAGGCACCCAAAAGTTAAGACACACCTGAACACACTTCTCCAGGTTTGAACCTGAGCAGCAGTTCCTTCTTGGGCCTAATTCCAGGGAATGAGGTTGTGCAAGAACACAGCATTAGATGGAAGTGCAGACAGGTCTTCTACCAGGACTGTGTCTCCTCCTTCCTTTCTGAACATGGCAGTCAGCTGAGGTCGAAACCATCACAGTCAGAGGATCCTAGCCAACCAACAGTTGAACTCATTTATCAAATTAGGACAACACAAATTAACAGTTTCAATACAAAGCATGAAACTGATGTGCTGCATAGAGAGTTTATAGATCTTGCTAATTTCCAACTCTCGTCCCTAGTTGGGCCAACCATTGGTGACACCACTGCATAAAGGAGGAAATGAGGGGTGTTATCTAGGTTTATAATTCCCGTATATATTTTTTATTGACCAATGACTGTGTCCCAACTTCTGTGAAACATTAAAAAATGGTCACATCATTGCCTAAAATAATGACATTTCTCAATTCCAACAATTTGAAAAGGTAAAAAAAAAAATACTCCTGTGAGATAGTTTAAAAATCAACTTTATTCCCTTCATCAAATCAAAAATGATCTTATTTGTAGATCTTGTTCATTTCCAGGACTGAAAGTTCTAATACCAAACAACCTGCAAAGAGTCATGTACTAAACAGCTTTGACATACATATCAACTCTGTGACTTCACTTTGACCTCACTAGCATGTGGAAAGCTTGCTTTATGGCGCCCCCTGTTGACCAAAGCATGTAATGTCAGTGTAAGAATAGAAATCAAACAGTCAAGAGGTGTAAACCAGTTACACCCATAATATAACAAAATACACTACTCAGAAAACTAGTGCGCAATGATTTTATTGTTGAAAACTGATCAAACATTAGCATAAAATACTAAAATAATCAGTGTTGAAAATTAAAGTTATGAAATCAATAATCCAACCACCACTAAGGTAATCAAATCCCTCCAGTCAATTATATAAATACATTTAATTTCATACAATAACAATATATAAAGACGGCTTCTTACAGATAATAGTAACTGTTTCACACACTTTTTCAGATTGATTATTTCCCTCCACTTTGTTTTTTTTTACAGTCCATCTCCATCTCCCCCATACCAAAATGAGTAAAGTCTATTACCGGCTCAGCATCTCGAGATAAAAATGTGTTAAGAATTGGCACTATATAAATAATGATTGACTGATTGATAGTCCCTCTCCCCTTAAAGTTGCACTACATTTCACATTTGTTTTTATTATATCACACAGTCTTATCGCCAGACTGCACATCTCTTCAGCTCTACGGATCCTTTTTCGCTTCTTTAAGCATTAGTGTTTCCATTCCAAGCCAGCAAACTCTTATCCACCCGGTTTCTAACCTCACCATGACGTCTTCATTTAAAAAAAAACAAAAAAAAAAAACACTGTAAGCTACCTGCCCAGCACCAAATACAAGAGACACATGTAGCCTCTTTACACATGCACAAAACTCATGAACATTTTCTGAAATTTACAGGGTGAGTTGCAATTTTTTTTTCTCAAATTCTTTTTCCTGCAAGCCTCTCCTTAAAATGTCGTTGTGAAGTCGGACGTTGATATCGCGCAAGCAGAGAGCAACAAGTGCGATTTTTGTTGTAAAATCTGCTTCATACGCCTTTATTTCTTCACACTCTTTCTTTGATACTTTAAACACATAAAACTACACAACAACACAGGGTTGGGCTCTGTTGTTTTTGGATATGTTGTAAATATTATCCTGTGACATCCGCATTGACTTTTTTTTTTTTCAAGGACAGGCTGTGCTAAAAATGTCTTGAATTTTTTACGAGATAATGCGTGAAAAGTGTTAAAGAAAGCTCTTGAAAGCTCCTGTTGAGTTGGAGATTAAAACAGAGCAAAAAAGGGGATGTGTACAGAATAAAATTTGCAAAGCGCCCAATTATTGCAGCTTTAAGGCATATTTTCCTTTGTTGATAACACTATTGGCTGCTCTGTCAATTGCATCCTTCACTGTTTCTGCTCCCTCAGATGCTTCACGTCCAATAACTCCACCAATAACTGCACCTGTTGCAGTCATGCCCAGTGCAGTCACACCAACCAACACCCCCGCAGCAGTCATACCTGCTGCTTCTACTCCTCCTGCAGCTGCTGCAGCTGCACCTCCTACTGCTGGCCTTCTTTTCATGACACTTATAAAAGACTGACAGTTTCGCAGAGCTGTGATAACTAATCCAACCATTGCAGCCACGCCAAACAAAGCACCCATCAACGCTCCCGTTGCAGTGCCAGCCAGTTCTATCAAAAACTTCTCAGACACTCTGCTTTTTGCTTCTTTTCTGATCTCCACGACTGGCATGTCACCCCAAGACTGTCTAATGTGCGCTTCCTCTTTCTGTATTTCTTTCTCTACTTCCTGAAACATCTTGTTGACATAGAAGTCTCCGTTGTTTTCCATCACCATCTCGTCTATTGTCTTCAGTAGCTCCTCTACCTGAAGCTGGTTGCTCCTGTAGTTATTCTGAACTTTGTTCTTCCAGTATTTATTATCTATGACGTGACACCTTCCACCGCACTTCTTCACCAGATCACTCAGATCTCTATTCTGACTTACAAAGTCCTCGATTTTCACCCCTTTAGGGAGCTGGTCGCCATGTGTAAACACAATGACAGCATATTTAAGAGCATCTTCAGAGAAATATTGGCATATTTTTGTGATCACAGCCTGCTCCTGCTCAGTGAACTTCTCCACTTTTAGCACAATGACAAATGCATGGGGCCCAGGAGCGCACTCTGTGATACACCTCACTATCTCAGGCTTCATATCCTCCTCAGGCCTTCCAGCATCGAAGAAACCTGGAGTGTCAATCAATGTGATGCTTCTGCCATTGACAGAGTTGGTTTCTGCTTGACATTGTCTTGTTCCAGAGTTAGGGGTGTGGTTTGTGGTGAACAACTTCTCTCCAAATATGGTGTTCGCTAGGTTGCTCTTTCCAGATCCGGTTTTTCCAAGCAGCACAATCCTTTTCGTAGCAGACTCTGTAAGAAAATACAGTGTTATGTTGAACAAAATGGATGTCACAGGACTGAATTTTTTCAGATTCTTTGCTATCATTAATCAGTACCCACCTTGGTGTGGATGTTGAACTTTGCTTTTGGTTTCTTTGAGTTGGAAATCTTCCTGGACAGACTTGAAGACCTGCAGAGAGACGTTCCATACAATATTACAATGATTATACCGGTTAATTATGTCAACAATAATCAACAAAAACATTTACATTCAAGTCCAAATCCCTTCATTTGCATGACCACATCGTATCTAGACTGACTTTATAAAGTCTGAACACCAATAATGATATGAAATGTAATTTCTGTAAACTGCACCCAAGTAAGATTTCAAGGTTGTTAGAAATGGACGGCAGTCCAATCAAATTTTTGTTTTTGCACTATTATTAGCAATAAATGACAGATTTTCTATTGTTTACTAAGTCTGGACTTGAACCCTTTAGAGTTTCACAGTCAAAGTTATGAGAACAAATAACTTTAGTTACCTCAGTAACCTTTTCCTCATTTGGGTGGATGACAATCCAGACAGTGAATGGTGTTCTGCTGGCTCGCTCTTGTTCAAAAGCGTGAACCTCTTCCAGTAGAATCCTTGCTACCAAGCTGTCAGGAAATTTCAGAGCAATCCCAGCCCCGAGTACAGGGAGAGCAACAGAAGCAAACCTTCTACTGTCACAAGTAGTAAGGATTTGCTTGATGCCCATTCTCAGAGCCTGAAATGAACCGAATTCAATTATTATTATTAAAGAAATACAAATCTGCAGAACAACCCATGAGAAAGTGTTCTCACAAACAGACACCAAAAGTTAAGACAAAACTCAACACACTTCTCCATATTTGTACCTGAGCAGCAGTTCCTTCTTGGTCAAAATCCCAGGGAGCGAGGTTGAGGAAGAAGACGGCATTAGATGGAAGTGCAGACAGGCCCTCCAACAGGACTGTGTCACCAGCCAGAGTTTCTTCTCCTCTTTCCTCTCTGAACATCGCAGTCAGCTGAGGCCCAACCATTTTGAACAAAGTGTTTCCTACACGAGTGGTCTGAATATTGGGGCCGACCATTGGGGACACCACTGCATCAACCTAATGAGAGGAGGAAATGATGTGTGTTGGACATTTTTTTCTAGGTTTATATTTCCCTTATATTATTCCAAAGGTTTTATTGTGACTCTCAAATTCTCACCTGCTGTGTCTCTATGGTACCCTGAGTGATCTCCACACGGACAAGAGCCCTATCCTCGTCTTGGACAGAAGCCTCCATTGGAAACCCAATTTCACTTGGTGCACTTTTTCCAGTAGTTACCCCTTGGAGAAGATTGTCACATGTTTCGTGCATTACCCTAACCACCTCCTCTCTGTTATCAATCAGAATGATTTGTCTTAGACTACGCCCTCCTTGACTTCCAAACTCTTTAACAGCCGTTACAATCGCCTGTGAACACACATTAACAGGGACACCGAAATTCCCTGAGCTGATACAAGGCATGGCTATGGACTGGAACTCCATCATTTCTGACAAATTCAGAGCAGAGTGGACAGTTTTTCCCAGCAACACCCTTTCTTTTCCACCGCATTGTCCACCTACTGGTCCAACAGCATGCAGCAATACCTTGCAGTTTAAGTTTCCACCTGTAGTGACTACCACTTCACCTGTGGGTAATTTCCCAATAGTCTCAACTAAGGAGCTGCTCTCACGCTGAACTTCAGGGCCACCCGCTTTGCTCAGTGCAGCCGCAACCCCTCCACAGTGGTTCAAATCTTCATTGGCAGCATTCACAAGGGCGTCAGCATCCTGTTTGGTAATGTCACCTTGACACACCAGCACTTGAAGCCCTCCATGAAGGTGGTAAGTCGCAACGGTTGTGTTTACTTCATTCAAGCACAACAATGACAGATTCTCCGCAACACATTGGGGTTCGCCTTTCCAAGGGGGGCTTCGGGAATATCTTGCTGACCCGTTCTCATCAGTAGTGACTCTGTCCAGATCAAGGGAGTCCAAATGTAGACATAGCCAGTTACTGACCTCCCTCACTTTGCCAGGTGGACCTTCCAGCGCAACCACGGGCCCAGAGAAAGTTGTTAAAAGGTTTATAGTAACCCCTAAAGAGTCTACATTGTGCAGCTGCAGTAGTTCTGGCAAGTCTTGTGCTAGTTCTGGAAATGGCAGATGGATTACGCTTTGCACATTCGAATGGTCCAAAACAAACTGTTTGACAACTTCACTGAGTAATTCAACTTCTTTGGTGTGGCCCAATAAGCACAATTTGTTATCTGAGCCAAACACAGCTTCGGCCCTACATTGCATTTGGTTCATCTCCTTTGTCTTGCACTCAAGCTTTTCCCAAAGCTCGGGTAGCGCAACAGAGCAGTCAGAAATATCAATAATGACTTCCTTGAATATTTCTGTAAGTTTTTTTTCTGTGTCATCCAGTTTATCAGTAGAAAGGGCAAAGAAACATAGTTGTGCATCTCTTAACTCTATTTCCACCTTGTCGCCAACCCCTAAAAACTCAGATAGCAACCCTGGACCACCATAGGTTTCCCTCAGGAAGGCCAAAAAGTGTGGGCTTACATCAGAAACTGTCCTCTCTAATACCAATGTCCCAATATTTGAGATTAAATCTCCAGCCTTGACAATTTCCTCCATGGTTCCCTCCAAAACTATCTGACCTTCATCTCCTCGGGTGACCTTCACTTCTGGATAATCTTGTCCCAAGCTGTTCTCAATCTCTTTCCAGAGGAGGGCAAGTTTGGCCTTACCGAGCTGTATAAGTCTGGTTTGTTTCTCACTAACACTTGACTTTTCTTCTAAATCCATCAACATGGCACTCACCTGCGAACGCTTCCCAACAACAACAGCCATCCCACCCTCGCTGTAAACCTTTACCTCATCTGTGGTCTGAGGGGAGCTGCAGGACCGAAGCAAAGCTCTAACTCTGACAGGTTCAACCTCGTAGTGAATCATGTAGTCATCAAAGACTCTGTCTACTTCAGCTCTCCAGTTTTTTACACCACCTTCAACACCAGGTTGAGCTAAACTCATGACTAACACCCTACCCTCCTCTGGGTAAAGCTGGGCAGAGCAGGAAACAGAGGTGAGTTCTTTCTCTAGTTCTTTCCAAGCTTGTGGGTGTTCCTTTAGGTAATGGAGGAGGTACATATTAAGTTGTAATTCATAGTCTTCACCACTTGATGGAGGAGTTGAGGCAGGATTGACCAGTGGGCTCTGTGTATAGAGATATATCCATTTAACAACAGGGTTGCTGTTTTTTATTTATTTCTTTAAATGTGTTAGTATTTAAAATGTTAGGACAAAACGTTTTTTACAGTGTTGGTGATACAGTATGCAGCCTCATTAGTGTTGTACAAGGCATGTGATCTTTAAAGGCAAATAATTATTTTCATTTCTGAATGAAATATAAATTATGCACTAGCATTCAAGGCTTGATCCAAAAGGAAACTTGACGGAGGTTAAAGGTCATGATGGCCAGATGCCTTTTGGATCAAGCCGCGATGACTGAGAACCATGGGCGGTTCTAGGCAGGGGCCAACAGGGGCCAGTGCCCCTGTAACACTGAGCTTGGTCCCCCCCTGTGGCCACCCCTCCAAAAGGAAGAGCCCCCCTAATAACACATACTGAAACAAATATGAACCATGGTATTTTATATTGTGGTATTTAACATATTATTTGGCATAATATATATATATTTTTCAAAGCGATCATCTTTGTCTAATTTTCAGCTGGTTTAATGTTCCCCTCTGACAAAACAAATGGCCCCAGCTTGGCCCCCTCAGTAAAAGTGGTCTAGAGCCGCCACTGCTGAGAACCTACACAGACATTATAGACTGACCTGTACTGGAGCTGTTGAATCCCGGGGTTGGGCTGACGTTTTGACAGTAGAGGCGTGAGGTTCGAGGTTGCCTCGGACAGTGATCACTACTTCACCATCTTTAAGCTCAACGACGTGCTCAGATCTCTGCAGGACTGCCTGCTGATCTGAAATGGAAAAGGTCGTTTAAAAAAAAAAAAAAGGAATCATTGTATTTTGATATTTGACATTTATTATGACACTTTCTTTATCTCTTTCTCTGTCGCAAACACTGCCCATTACCTAACTGTTGGAACAGTTAGTAACAGCAGTAACATGTCCAGCAGCAGTGTAAAGATATTTAAGATGATGTCATCTGGTGTTATTATTATTATTATTTTTTTGATTCTCTTTTTATTGAATGGTTTTTTAAATTAAAACAGAAACAGGCAATGGGAAAAAATACAAGGAAAAACTCTAAACATAAATTATTCAGAGGCTATTCGTTCCCAAACCTGTCTGCAAGTTCCCACTCACTCACCCCCCCACCCCACGCATGTTCCCAGTTTCGTACATACATATATCCACACAAACCTATACAGACATACATATCAATCAATAATAATTGATTAATAAAAATAATAAATAAAATAAAAAACAACAAAAATGAAGAATACAATTCATGCATCCATGTTGTCCTAAAATATTTTCATGTTGTCAGAAATAGACTAGGGACTGACAAGCCCCTTATTGGTGCCATAGATAACAGGACCACATGCAAAATATTCAGAAATATTTAAAAGGGTTGGTCTGGTGTAAACCTCCTTGTGACCATAGCTTGTGACATAATATGTTGTCAATGTCATCTGGTGTTATGAAAAAAAAAAATGACAATGTTATTCTTTTGCACTTCTTGCCATATTTCGTTGATATAATATCCTAATAATATTTGATTTATTTCGTGAGGTAGACTATTTTTTTCACTCAAAAAGTCAATTTCTGACAGAACTGATTTGAGTTTCGTTTTCTCCGGAAAGTGAAACTTATGTAATGTTGATTTTTCGACATTTCCTACTGAGTCAGGGAGATCATTGCCTGTTGAGGTTTTGTCAAATCATTAACATTTATAACCAAACTTTATTATATAGGCGAAAGATGTGAATAAAGACACATGTTTAGTAACTGCGTGTTATTATTGGCCTACCTTCCTGATTTGTGAAAGCAACGCTGTAGATTGTGTCAGTCTCTCGCCTCAGTGGTCCACAGTCCCCCCCGCCTGATCTGCGGCGAACACGGAAATGCGTTTCTATCCTCTTCTTGTCGAGCAGGTGGCTCTGGCACTCAAAGAAAACGGGATATGGGTAAATATCAGCCATAGTTCGGCTCGTTCGCAAAGCCGAAGGAAGCAAAACATGGGGCGTCCGATCTTAGAGGCAGTGTGTTCAATGTGTCTGAAACTGTAGGTGGAGCAGCGCCCCCTAGTGCCCGAAAGGAGGGACGTCCAAGTTTACTACCTGGGCTGTTTACAGTGAAAGCAGTAAACAATAAACTAGGCCACGCCAAGAATTGAAGACATTAGGCCTACACCCTAATCAAGAATATTGTTTTTATTTTTTTAGATTTTGTCTTCTCTTTTTTTTTTGGGGGGGGGGTATTCCATAAACTCTTAATATCTGTCTGTGTAAAAATAAAAACAGTAGACAATTTGCAAAAGGAACAAAAGGTTGTCCTTTATGGCTACTGTATTTCCATCTGACCTTAAGTGAAAGGAGACAGTTGGCTGAGCATCGAGCACAGAAATCATCACGGCACGTTATTTTTTTAATAACACCAAATAGAAAATACGTTTTGGACTTTATTGTCCCCATGGGGAAATTCCTTTTCAGACTGATTGATGGTATTAAGTATGTGATACAACTAAAGTTAATGACTATTTTGACAGACTCTACACCAGGGGTGTCCAAAGTGCGGCCCGAGGGCCAAAAGTACAGAAAGCAAAAACACACACTGACTAATTATTTCTGATTTATGATGCATCTGTTCTTTAATGAGCGGAAAAACAAAAAATTCAAGGTTTGTAATGTGATAAAATATTCCTAATTTTACTGCAACTCCACAACCAGCGTCAATAAAGAGAGGATGATGTGATGGAAAATTAAACTCTCACCCCCAGGACTTTTAAGAATAATGCTGTAAATAATTTGGTTTGTAAAGGGTTAACTCCCAAACACAGGATGTAGTCGGTAACCAATCTTCCAAACAGCATTGCAGTGATGGATCACAGCGTACTGACACGAGGCTGAAGAATCAGAAGATTTTGGCCCGAGGCCTTGATTAAGATTGGCACATTATCTTATTTTTCTTTTTCATGTTAACAAGGGCTGAACAAAGTTCCTAAAATAGAAACTGTTCAGTAACATGTATGTTGTTGTTTAAAATCTACAGCTTTTACTATTTTCCACATTTTTTTTGTAAACTATGAAAAAAAAAACATATGCTAAGTTTTTGCAAACAAGCGGCCTGTTGTTTAACCATTTAATGACCTGAGCTACATGCAGAAAGCTTTTCCAAAAAAAAAAATGAACCACGTCACAGGCTTGATTCTGAGAAAAAAAACAAATAGTGGAACGAAGAAATCAAAATATTTGATTTCCTTTCATTAAAGGGTTTATTTAGCGAGTCTTTTGATTCTGATCTACAAAGCCCGCAAGAAATAAAAATTTGGACACCACTGCTCTACACAGACTGTTTCCACTCGTCTGCCTTGAAGTGTTTTACCCAGAGACCAATGAAAAACTGAAGGAAAAGAAATGAGCTGCGGAAGCAAGTGAATTTAATAGTTTATTTTTATTCAACAAATGGATTACCGTTCGCGTTACTTGATACGACAAAAAGTCAGAAAGAAACACAAAGCTGGAACATTCTGATCTTCCTCACTTAGCTTCAAGACAATACTTTTAAAACATTGGAAAACCACACAGTCGTTTTTTTACAACACAGAAAAATGAACTGTTTAATTATTTCAACATGGGGAAAGACAACAGCCACTGAAAGGAACAAAGAAACTCTTTTAGAAAACAAATATAATGTAAGCACTTAGCTCGTAAAAAAGACGTCTTTTTGGTATGTATTTTCCCGTGCTCCATGTTTTGTTGATTTGACGGCTGGACTGTGACTTTGTATTTTTAGCTGCGGAAATGATGAATCTGACGAAGCAGCGTTTGAGCTTCCAACCCTAAACATGATGTCACAGGAAATAGCCAGCATGTGAACATGGTTTACGACAGCCTGATCAGCAGTGGTGCCAAAATGAAGCGTGTCACCATATCTTAATCAGATGTGCATAATAAGCTTTGCTTTCTGAGACCCATCATCCTTGAACCCGATGCAAGGGTAGAGAGGTTCAGAGAAGGTGGTTTCTTCTTTGTGGAGCAAAGTCATCAACGTGCCAGAAACGGCATAAAAGGACAGAATACCTTCTAGACAATCCAGGTACACTCCGATGTTAGTGTATTGAGAGCCTGGCACGTTCCTGCTTACGTTGTTGTGCTTGAAGGATGAACCATTTTTGGAGCACACTAAACTCCACGACCGGTTGTCTTTACCAAACTCAGAGTTAAATGTTGGCGTTGGGCTGTTGTCTTTGTAAGACACCGCCACACACCAAGTGTAACCATTAAAACCGACCTCCCAATAACATCGATCTGTCAAACCCTCTCTGCACCACATCTGCTCTGTACCTGTGATCCTGTTTGTTATATATACAGAATTATTGTAACTGTTATAACATCCATCATAAGACAGCGTCTGCTGTGTTTTACACGTTGCCCGCAGGTTTTCTTGTGAAAGGGACATCTTGGGGGAGACGGACTTCTCATCCAGCTTTAGAGGACAGCAATCTGACGAGAGAAAAGAGGGAGACAATATTTACATTATCCTTTTTTTAATAGATATTTTTTTGGGCCTTTTTGCCTTTATTAGATAGGACAGCTGAAGAGACAGGACATGTGGGGAGGAGAGAGAGGGGGGGGGGGTGACATGCAGCAAAGGGCCGAGATCGGATTCAAACCCATGGCAGCTGCGATGAGGACTATAGCCTCTGTACATATGGCCGGGACATAACTGTTCGGCTATTCGGAGCCCCAACATGATTTGACGTTTCAAATCTCAGTTTTTCATGATGGTCCAATTTTTTCATGGAATTCCACAGAAATATCAAAAATGATACTCACAGTGTAAAAACTCTTGTCTGGTCTTTGGCTCAGGTTGCTTCAAAACATTTACAGTAGACACTAACAACAGAAAGGAAAATAACATGAATACCACACGACTTCAATTACACTTGATAACTCTGTATTTTTACATATTTCTGTTCCTCTTTGACTGACCTACGGCAGAGATGCTGGTCAACCTGTCCTTCAACAGGTCCTCCATGTCCACCTTCAGCTTAGACATGCAGTCCGTCACAGTTCTGAATGTACGTTTGGAGCGGACAGGAAAAGAGTTTGCCAAGTCTGGAGATTCACAGGAGGCTGACAGCGACTGGAACGTCTGAAGTGGATTTTAAGAGTTCAGAGTATAAAACATTTAAAGGGAATATTTTCAATGTTTCATGTGGATGTCCAATCTGGGTCAAAAGCTGGGTTCTCCTCCTCACCAAACTGTTCAACGCCTACATTTACCAGCATGCATTGTGCTCAAGCAGAAACAGAGTCAGCTGCAGCCTTACCATGACTTTACTGTACTTTGATAATAATTTAAAGTTACAAAAACTAAACAGTCTATCGCTGTAGCAAACATCACTTAGTACCTGGATAAAGTGGATGTGGTCGTCGATATGGGTCATCTGTTCCAGTTCCGTGTCCCTCTTCCTCAGCTTGATGATTTCCTCCTCCAGCTGCAGCTGCAGCCCTTCAGCCTGAGCCACCGCCGTCTTCTCCTGAGCTAAGATCTGCTGCTTGGCCAAAGTGCGGCTTTTCTGAAAGGACGAGATCAGCTCGCCGAAGATCTCGTCGCTGCTCATCACAGCAGTCTGGCTACATTTCTGTTCCAGGACAAAGACAGCGATTTGTTTTCAGTTTCAGGCTTTTCTGGGTAGCAACGTTTTTGACCTAAGACCTTAAAGAGACAGCGGCTGAAATGAACCCTTTCAGGCAGAGGCTAAAATGAGGTATTTTACTGACATCAGTATTGGATGAATAAGACGTTTTTGAGCTGCACATCTCACAACGCTACTCAGTAGGTGTCCAACACGGCCATAATGAATGGTGGAAGTGAGTATATTAGATCTCCTTTAACCTTATGTCTGCTGTACAGTTTCTTTTGTGTGGATTTCAATGAAGAACTGCACTTTGTTCATTCAAACCCTCCTAACTTTGAACAGTCCTAACAGGACTTTGAACTGCGTCTCAAGGCCCTTTCAGATAAGATGTGTTGTATGTGCGCTTTCCAAACCTTGAAATCCTTCAGAGCTTCAAGCAGCGCTGTCAGCTCCTTCTCTCCCTCCTTTCGTCTCTCCTGGACTGTCTTTTGGTTCACAGTCAGCTGTTTCTGTAGTGATTTGTTGAGAACAGATATTAAGATGAATCACATCTGATTACAGAGTCGTTGTGTTTCTGTTTGGTTTTTTCTTTCTACCTGTTGCTGATCTCTCTCTGCAGCAACCGACACGGTTGTATGGCTCTTGTGCTCGTCTATAACACACAGATAGCAGATACACTTCCTGTCAGTCTGGCAGTAGACCTCCATCAGCTTGCTGTGCTTCGTACATATCTTGTCCTGCAGAGGGACTGAGCAAGAGACCAGCTGGTGCGTCTTCAATGCTGGAACACTGTAGTGAGGCTGGAGGTGAGCCGGGCAGTAAGACACCACACACGTCAGGCACGACATGGTGGCTTTGTTGGGATTGGCCCCACAGCAGAAGTCACAGGGGACGTCTGCCGGGCTGGAACAGGCCTCAGCAGCAGCGGCCTCCACAGCAGTAGCAGCTGACTCAGGACCAGAGGTAGAGGCCTGCTGGGGGCTTGCTCTATTTAACATCTCCACAACCTAAGGGGGATAAAATACGTACAGTCAAAACATGGGTCAATAAAGACTTGCTATAATATGATGTTTAAAAAAAATGTGTCATGGCCACATGGTGTTACAATTTAAATAAGGTAATATCAGTAGAGGGCGTGCCAAACTAAATAACAGCATGACAAAGATAACCAGAGTACAAAGTAACTCCCTCTTTTGAAATATTGCTTTATTAGCAGTCTTCAGAACTAGCGGCCAGCGGCCGCAGCAGCCAAAACACAAGACCGGCCTGTCGGCAGCAGCCATCTCGCCGCTATATTTATATTTTTTCGCCATTATCAGCTTTCTCCATAGAGCCTGTTAGCATAGCTTCCACGCAATATGGCGGACGTTAAGTTTCGATTCTGGGAGTGAGTTCCCACCCACTGATCTGTGATTGGTCGTAG